CCCCTCCCCGAAAGTTCGAAAGATAGGAGCACGACGACGGTTCACTACAAAAGACCGACAACAACAACAACAACAACAACAACAACAATCAATCAATCAATCAATCAATCATTCTCCTCGAACCTCCCTTCCCCCCATCTTTCCCTCTTCCCCCATATCTCCCCGAGCCTCCCACCCTCCCTTGTCTCCCCGAACGTCGTTCCTCCCGCTGCGCGTCTTCCCCCTTCCCTCCCCGAACGTCCTCCCGGACCTGCCCGGCCCCCGTGCCGAACGTCTGTCCTAACACCGCGCGTCTTCCCCCTCCCTCCTCGAACCTCCTCCCAGACCTCCCCCCCCTACCTCCCCGATCTTCTTACCCGCCCGTCCCCATCGGTCTCCATCCCTCACTCCCCGAGCCTCCTTCCTCCCTCTTCCCTCCTCCCTCCTCCCTCCCCGAACCTCCTCCTCCTCCTCCTCCTCCTCCTCGTGTTTTCTTCTCCCCCTTGCTGTGTCTTCCTCCTCCTCCTGCTGCGGTTCTCCCTCCTTCTCCGTGCCTATCATACTAACTCACTTCTCGCTCTCTATTCACTTCTCCCTCCTCCCCGTCCTCCTCTTTTTTTCCTATGCATTGATCTACTTGTATATAAAAGTTTCCTTCTCTCATCTAAATTTAGATAAACCGACTGGTTAATTTGCTCTCGTTTATAAAATTTTCCTTCCTCCCTAATGCGTATATATAAAATATTCCTTCTCTCGTTTTCGCCATTTAATTTAGGCAAACTGATCTCGTCGATATCGCCTGTGCGCTCTCGGGCTAAAAGGTAGAACTATTTGGCCGAGTTGGCGAAAATCAAACTTGTCTCATCCGTTGGATTGATGACGAAAACGCAGCGCATCTCTCCAAATTCACACCTGGAAAGGGCTAATACGACAAAAACAGAGCGACGACTGAGAAAGACCAACATTCGAAATGGACGCAGAGAGCAACAAGTTGTGTGTGTGTGTGTGTGTGTGTGTGTGTGTGTGTGTGTGTGTGTGTGTGTGTGTGTGTTTTGTCATGTTCGCTATGTACAATGTGTGTGTGTGTGTGTGGGGGGGGGGTCTTGGCACAACCGCTGTCTACATGCCATGTTTGCATGTGGGCAAGCTCGACTGATCGACTGTGTTTATCTGTGCGTGAGCTCTGTCTTTTTTTTTTTTGTGTGTGTTGTCATGTTCGCTGTACACAACTCCACAAAATAAAGCATGACTGTGCCAGACTGTTTTGTCGGACTCTGTGTGTGTGTGTGTGTGTGTGTGTGTGTGTGTGTGTGTGTGTGTGAGAGAGAGAGAGAGAGAGAGAGAGAGAGAGAGAGAGAGAGAGAG